GAGAGAGCGAGAGCGTGTGTGCTTTGGTGCCTGTGTTCTGTGAGAGCGGAAGGGCAGGAGAAGAACTCAGAGAATTAGAGGCAATGAAGATTGCTACTCCTGTCTCAAAAGGGAAGGGGTGGGAAAGGGAAAAAGTGGGCAGTGACTTAGAGTATTTGACTGCTGTTGTTCTTCTTTATTCATTTACTTGATGCTTTTCTTTCGAGCATCAAAAAATGTTGTAGACGCTGACGCAGGGAGGGAAATTTCCTTGATTAAAGGCTAGTACATGTTCTTCCCTGTGGCGCAGCGGGTTAAAGCACTGCACTAAGAAGTTTAAGCCAATTCTGCATGAGTTTGATCCCTGCGATCCCTGCCTGCCCCGGAGGTGACCACATGGCTGGCGCAGCAGACCTCTCCTGGCCCACCCGCTGCTCCCCTCAGCAGTATACTTTGTGATCTGCCTGTTCTGCCCCCTTCTCTGTCTCTGGTGAATCCTCTCATCCTCCGCATCTCTGGCCTGTACCCCAGTTCTGTATGAATAAATAAATATATCTTTAAAAAAAAAAAAAGACTATACCTGTGCAGAGTAGTCACCATAGCCCAGTGCAGGTACTTAGTCTGGGCGTATGGTTGTATTTTGGAGATTTCATTAAACTCAGGAATTATGTCCAAAAGTATTATATGTGAACGTATAATTTACATCAGATTGTTTTCTTTACCAAATTTCATTGATTTGCCAATCGTTCACATAACTATGTAATTTGGGGAGTACAACTTCACCCCTTCACTTGTACACATGCTTACTCACTCTCCACCTAAGCTCCAGGGCCACACCGTGTCACCCTCTTTCCTTGTACTAACCCCTCTTCCCTCTCTCCCATCCCCACTGGTAACCAGCCTGTTTTTTTCATAGTTTCAGGATAACATTTATGTTTTGTCAGTTTGTTTTCTTTGGTTATTTGGAATCTGCAAATGAGCAAAATTTCTACTAACTTTCACTTCCTAAATTAGATTCTTAGAAGGTACCTGGGCCTAAATAAAAGGTGAGGAATTTACCGGCGTGGTAAACAACTGCATTTTCCCATCTTTTATCAGAACCTGGTCTCCCGTTTACCATCTGTACTGACAGAATGTAAGGGGAGTGTATGCTTGTATGAATGTGTGTGCAAACAGTTTTTGCACAGAAAGCATTATAGGGTTTCTACTGAACGTGTGAGGTCATGAATTATTAAAACTGGTGCTTTTTGGGAAAAGAAAGGTAGGAAAGACAAGATGGCTATGGATAATGGAAAGGAAAAGGGAATGGAAGGGCACTGAAGTTTTACGTATGTGAGATTTTCTCTTTGCTTATTTTGCACTGTTTTACTCCCTCCGTCATTTGTTTCACTCATTTTTCAAATTCTGAAGACAAGGCCCATGCTGGAGATCAGACTCACTCCCTGTCTCAGTGAGTCCATCTTTACACCAAATCCCTGGCCTCCACGCCAGGGGACGAATCAGGGGATGCGAGTCTGTTTTCGCTGCCTTTCTTGTAGGAAAACAGATGGTGGATTACATCTGCCAGTACCTGAGCACAGTGCGGGAGCGGCGGGTGACTCCTGACGTTCAGCCTGGCTACCTGCGAGCCCAACTCCCTGAGAGAGCTCCCGAAGACCCGGACAGCTGGGACAGCATCTTTGGGGACATTGAGCGAATCATCATGCCTGGGGTGAGACCGTGCCCACTAGGGTGATTCTAGATTCTGGGGGCATATTAGGGTGGGTGCTAGGCCTGAAGAAGGGCTGAGCGTGAACTTCAGGTGCTAGCCAACACCCACGCCCGTCTTCTGGGCAATAGGAGGCCAGGCATTGGCTAAAACTGGGCTTCTGATGCAGGTGATCCATAGTGTTGGGAGGTAGAAGGAATAAGGGCCATACCCCATCCTGGTCAGACAGAAGTGGAGAAATCTAATGGGATGATGTGGGAAGGGAAAACCAGGTCTGAAGGGAAAGGGCAGCTGTGGAGAGCAAGACAGAGAGAGGAGGCTGGAGGGTAATCCCAGACACCCAAGTTGGCAGAACCTACAAAATTTTGAGATATGCCAAGAGGAAGGAGAAAAACTGAGAGCATAACTGCCTGTGACCCCAGGAGCACCCTACTTCTGAGAGTTGAGTGAGTTCCTGATCAGCTTCTTCGTTTCTTCTCAATGGGGTGAGCATGGTTTCCTTCCTGACCAAGAGGAGGTCTCTTGATTGAGCTGCTTTTCAGGAGTAGACAAGGGCTTTTCCTGGATCATCTTATACTTCCTCTGAGGGACGGGGTGTGGTGGCAGGGGGGCTGGAGGGCTGGGCATAGCCTGGTGATAGCCAGGGGCCAGGGAACACACAGAAACTGGCTCATACACAGGACTTGAGCTGGCTCTGCCACCCTGGGCTGTGACAGCATGCTAACCAGAGGAGCTGTAGTAGCTCTCCCGCTCACAGGGTGCTTACACCTGTCCTCCCGCAGAGGGCCCACCCCTCAGGAGCTCCATGCCATAGGCTCTGCTGTTGCTCTCTCAAGACAGCCCAGCTCATTTAATCCTACAGGAACTCTGTAGCTTAACAGACAGGAAACTGAGACTCAGGTTAATTGTCTTCCCAAAGTCACAGAATTTGTGCTGGGCAAATCCGGGATTTTAATGGAGGCCAGTGTTACTCCAAAGAATGGCTTTGTCTCCTATATTGTTCTCTAGTGAGTGACAGAACATCCTGGATGGAGCCAGGCCCCCCATGCCTTCAGCTGTGCCCTACACACCAACTGTTTTCATTTTCCCTGGTTGGGACTTTTGTGTCCTGAATTGCATACAATCAACCAGTCTTCCCAAGGGCAGTTTCAGATTTGTTTCCATTATCCCCAAACAACTATGGGCTTGAAAGTCACAGAAATATACCTGGAGGAAGGGGTGAAAGATTATTCAAACTCAGAAAGTGATGGTGAGTTTATACAAAGCTAGATGCTCATCTCTCTGACCACTTCACCTTTTTCACAAGTATCATCTGAAAATTTCCATGTCATTAAAGTATTACCAAGAAGGCCAGCTCCTGATAAGATTATCTCTTGAATTTCATTCTGTAAAAATGTTGTCGGCTGTGGGATTAACTGTAATTTGGCAGTGAGACTGAAAGCAACTATCAGAAGAAGCGGAAATAAGCTGATTACTTTGATTGAAAGAAATTTCAGCAGTTGCTACGGGTGTGGCAAGAGAGGTTCATTTTTGGAGTCAGAGGTCTGTCTGCTGTGATAAGGTTCCCCTGGCTTCTCTTTTTTATCTTACATGAACAGACAATTGGCTCTTGATAGCTCTGGAGGTGGAACTCATTCTTGAGGGATTTCCGAAATACTGTTGCTAAGCACACTGATATCAAGGACCTGATCTTTCATCTCATCTTCCAGGATGCACTAGCTTCTGGGAGTTGGCCTGAGGGCCGTTGGCCCTTTTCTTTCTCATTTGGGTTTACAACTCATTAAAAACTGGATTGCATTTCCCCTCCCTGCTACCTCCTAAACACAAAGAGTAGAAAATCGGTCCTGCTCCACTTCCAACCCTGGTTAGGAAAACCTCATGTACCTTCCAGGGGGTTGCAGGAGCAGCTGAGGGGAGGCAAGATGCCCTCGCACTTAGGTGTTTGGGCTCAGAATTCAGACAGCCCTGGGTGTGGGTCTCTGAGCTGTCTTCTGTCCCTCCCAGGTATTTGTGATTGCAGGGTGCTGCCTCTTGCTGATAACCCCAGTTCTCATCTGCACACCTAGGATAATGGTAGAACCTACATGCAGAGATTCTGTGAGAGTAAAATAAGATATGGTATGAAAAGTGGTGATAGTGTTACCTGCAATGCCTTCTACCTGGTGAAAGTCAGAGGAAGAGGTGTGATTGTCTAAGAGTTAATTCAATATATGTTATGTGTAAATCACCATGTAGTTAGTTTACCAAGAATATTAGTATTTTATATTTTAGCACCCCCCCCAAGCTGATTCACACAACAATTCCAGGAAAAATGATTTATTTTTTTGTTGAGAAACTAAGGTAGAGAGAGATATAGAGGAAAGTTCCAGTTTTAGTGCTTTGGATTGGACATACATTTTTGAGACCCTCTTTTAAGAATATAAAACTAAGGATGGCTTTCAAAAGAGATCCATATAAACAAAGGACCGTGGAGCTTAAATTCACTAGTTTCAGGATAACTCTACAAGATCACACAGGTACTGGGCAGAAGGAAGTCGTGTACCTGTGCCTTTGGGCTTGAATCTTACCCTCATTTTATCATACATGCTGCTCAGACATTGTTCTTCTCTTGAAGGATTATGGAGTTTGTGCACCATAATAACCCAATGATACACTAAGATGTTATCTATTGAGTTCTCAGTGGGGTGAACATCGAGAGTGAGAATGTTCCATGGAGTAGAGCCAGGATTAAAGGGGGCTGTAGAGTGTGTGTATTTAGTAGCTTCCTGAGAATTAAAAGATTTTAGAGTGCCATGTCTTTTTTAAGAAGTGCCTTCTATCAGGGATATAGCATTGCTCAGACTCATGAACTGAGAAATGTATCGTGCATGCTTATAGAGCAGTGACATGATGCCAGATTAGATAATCAATGAGGCTGATGAGCTGCTAAAGAGACTTTGAGACCTATTATAGGGCATTCCTGCCCAGCTCCTCCTTATGTTTGGGTTCAACTTCATGTGGGCTCAGGGGTTAGCCTGAGGTCCCCTATCCTTTCCTCTCCTTTCTCCACCCCTACTGTGAAGCTAAGAATAGCTTTGAGCCTATTTACACCCACCTGACCCTCTGCAGGAGCTGTGACCCTCTGTGTGCCCACTGAGCGTGGCACACCACAAAACAAAGACTGCTTTATGCAAGAAGTTGGATGAGACAAGCAACCTGCTCTTCTGGAAGTCATAGTCTCCCCTTCCTTCCATTACTAGGCAGGGGCAGCATCGGGGATACATATCAGAGATTCAGAACCCACACGCTGATTACTACAACAGTTTCCATGTTGCCTGTTCCCTTCAATCTTGGCATATGTGCCCCTGTTCCATGCATTAGCTTAGAAGATGGAAATAGGATAAAAATATGGAGGGGGGGGAGTGCATTGGACTATGGTGATGGCACATGGGTGAATTGGTGATGGGAAACCTGTAGGAATTACAACTGAGATGGAAAAAGGCACAAAATGATGTAAAAAAACCCACAACTATTATTAAAAAAAAAAAAAAAGAAGATGGAAATGGGGCAAGAACACCGTGCACAGTCTTGTTTTCATGGAGTTGTGGCATTCATTTTACTGTCTTTAAAGTTGGCCAGGGAGGGCCCTCCCTGGTTGCGCAACGGGTTAAAGCGCAGCATTATGAAGCTATCCACAGCCACCATAGCAGGAGTTTGATTCCCGGCCAGGGAGGTGACCCACATGGCCCAGCAGACCCCTTCTGTCTCACCGGCTGCTCCCCTCAGCAGTGTATTTCATCAATCATTAATCTGCCTGTTCTGCTCCCCAATCTGTCTCTGCTGAATCCTCTCACCACTCCTGCACCTCTGGCCTATACCCCAATTCTGTATGAATGAATAAATAAATCTTAAAAAAAAAAAAAAGTTGGCCGGGGAGGGTCTCTGGAGATGGAGATGCTTCCTGGTGCCAGCTGTATGTATGCTCCGCTTCCAGGTGGTACACTGGCAGAGCCCCCACATGCACGCCTACTACCCAGCTCTTACCTCGTGGCCGTCACTGCTGGGAGATATGCTGGCTGATGCCATCAACTGCCTGGGATTCACCTGGGTGAGTAGCAGTGCCTGTGGCTGTGGCTAGTAGCCATGGTGACATAGCTGGAGGTGACACCCTGAGCCGGACATATTTTGCTCTGGCCTTTAGAAGGGTTCTAAGTGAAGTATGAGCAACAGCCCCAGTCTTTGAGCTTCAGTTTTAAATAATTTTTCTCACCTTGTCCTTTAACCATATGGAATCATCAGTATTGCCCCATTTTGTAAAGTAAAGAAATTTATTTTCTCAAGATTGCACACCCAGCTCATAGAGACAGATAAGATTTCGATGGAGATCTGGTTATTGCTACAGTTTGTGACCCTTCTGAATACTTGGTACCTATGGCACACTTGGTGTTTTGTGCTCTCATCTTTAAGAGGATAGGGAAATGCCTTAAGACTTTCCCTAATAATCCCCTAAACAGGGCCCTCCTCGGTGGTGCAACGTATTAAAGCGCAGCACTATGAAGCTAACTGCAGTCGTTGAAACACGAGTTCGATCCCCCCCCTGGAGGTGGCCCACATGGCACAGCAGACTTCCCCGACCCTCCCGCTGCTCCCCTCAGCAGTGTATTTCAGTCAATCTGCTTGTTCTGCTCCCCACTCTGTCTCTTGTGAAGCCTCTCACCCCCATAACTTTGGCCTTTACCTCACACATAAATAAATGCATCCTAAAAAATATGTATAGCTCTGTTTGAGTCTCTAGCAGAAAAAAATCCCTTAAACATTTTTAAGTCACTTAGGAGATCTTTATATTTTAAACCTGAATTATATGGTATGTGTGGGAGAGTTGGGGGGAAGGAGAGTTACCATCTTTTCCAGAAAAGAGTGCCTTTTTGTAGTCCTAAACTTTTCCCCTGGCCATTAGAGTGCTTCTGAGCTGTGTATTTTAGGGATTTGGGGAGCCAAATTGAGTAGTCAGTTCTAATTATTTCTGTTTCTTCATAAAGTCTTGGAATGATAGGAAATCCACTTTATTGAGGGTGGCATAATCCAGAGTCCACGTTTCCCCCAGTTTGCTTGGCAGAAGTTGGGGCACAGGGTTGATACTGACTTCTTCAAGGAGAAGATAGGTTAGGTTCCCCCTGGTTTCCAGAGGTCAAGGAAGCCAGGCTGGCATCAGATGTGTTTCTGGGTCTTCTAAGGGGCCTCTGGTGCCCTGGGATTGCCCCAATGAAGTTCTTTCTCTCTTTCAGGCTTCCAGTCCTGTGTGCACAGAGCTGGAAATGAACATCATGGATTGGCTGGCAAAAATGCTGGGACTCCCTGAACACTTCCTGCACTATCACTCTGGCAGCCAAGGGGGAGGTGTATTACAGGTACCTCCGTTGATCAAGCTCCCCCATAACTTGGAGGCTAAGTAGTGAAAGAGAAGCCATATCTTTGCCCGGGAAATTTTCTGATTGATCATAGAGATTCCCCCATGTCACTCACCTCAGCTCCATCATCTCCATCACAGCCCTCATCACTGGTGCGACCCTGAGGCTATCCTGATGGACGGGACCCCTCCAATCCCACCACGGTCACCACTAGTACCTCTACCTCTTGCCCTTCCCATCTTACCTTCTTTGCTTATGTTCACTGCTGCCTCCTGGCCTCTCCATGCTTCTTTGTCTTCTTTGAAAAAAGATTACACCAGTGGTTCATCACATTTCCAGTATTACTTGATTCAGTTTCCTTAGTTTCTATTCTGACATCTCCCCTCCTTTGTCCCATTTATATCTCGTATGATAAGCAGAACAGAGAAGAACCTTCTTGCCCTCCCTCCTAGTGCAGGACATCCTTGCAGTGAGAGAAATAACATCATTCTTTTATCTTACCCTATGACCCTACCTCCTGAGTACTTTTCAAATGATGGTCCTTCAAATGTTTCCTTTTATGCCAAGAGTAATACAGTGTAATAGGGCCTGTATAGGTCATGCAAATTGCTAGGCACTTTTGCATCTATAAACTCTTGTCATCACGAAGACTTGGTTCTGAGAACTTTGAGAACCTCCATGTTCTTGAATTCTACCTTAATGTGTAATTTCCCGGCTTTTGAATGTTATAAGGTAGGGGTAACAGTCATCTTGCTCAATATGTGAAAAGGAGGATCAAATTACGTCTATTAAATAAAAAAAGCTCCCTGGTGGGGCCTTCTCTGGTGGTGCAGTGGGTCAAAGCAGAGCACTGTGAAGCTTGCTGTAGTCACTTCAGTATGAGTTCAATTCCCAGCCAGGGAGGTAACTCACATGGCGCCGCAGACCTCTCCGACCTGCCCACTGCTCCCCTCAGCAGTGTACTTTGTCAATCTGCCTGTTCTGCTCCCCACTCTGCTTCTGGTGAAGCCTCTCACCATTCCTGCACCTCTGGCTGTACCCCAGTTCTGTATGCATAAATAAATAAATCTTTTAAAAGGTTAAATAAAAATAGCTGCATTGCCCCCAAAATGAGAAAAAAAGAAAGTTGGCTAGCACACTCACTAGCTAGCTAAGTGGCTCTCACGCCAGTCGTGCGCAAGATTAAAATCTGAAACTTGCAGGGAAGACTGATTACTACATAAGTTGTTCGCTAATAGTTATCATTTAAGAGATGATGTCTGGGAACGCACGACAAATGTCTGTGAGGCTTGCTTTTCAATTAGTTATCTCACTGAGAAGTCTGTAGGTAAAAATAGTACCATTCCCAATTTTTGGGATGGAGACACTGGAGCTCAGAAAATCTTGCCCCATGTCACACAGCTTACCAATGGAAAAATGAGGATTTAAATCCAGGTCCGTCTACTTCCAAGTCATGCTTTTCCTTTTTATTTACCAACCTTGTGTACTAAATTTAGTCCTTAACCTTGCTCTTTGTCACTATTCTCATGTGTAGACAATAATTACAAGTATCAGAGAGGTTTTATGAGGAGCATAAAAAATCTGCTGTATAGATGACGTTGTTGCTATTATCATCATGCCAGCTTCCTTGCTGTGGAATAATTTCCAACCACTGAATATCTTGTGGGATTTGATCCACAGTACTCCCAATGGCACTCTCTAATGAGCTTTTTAGTGGGCCTATCAGCTGACAGTCGCCTGGCAGTTTTGAGAAGCAAAGGCACTAAAGTCTGAGTGAATGAATGATCAGAACTCCTTGGAGTTGGTTGAGGGGACCCCCAGGATTTTCATAACCTGGAAAGAGCAAAATCCTACTAATTCTTTTCTTAGATAATTTATACTCCTGTTCTGGGAGTTCAGTGAAGGAATGAGCTCCATTCTGTATGTGAAAGAATATTCCAGATGGGCTATATTAGCTCATGAAAGCCATTGGCATCACGACTGAGGGCAAAGTCACCAGCCTTACCCATACCCCTGTGGAAAGAAATGCCATTTGCACACTTAGTAAATCGAGAGTGCTTCCTTTCAAGCATGTTTTACACAGGGAGCAGACATCTGTTCAGTTGTTGGAAAAGTCACGACGTTTTTTGTCTATGCTTTATGTGCAAAACTGCATCATGGCTTTTCCGACAACCCAGTATAAGCAAGCTCGTATCTAGCAGAGGCTGAACATTCTCTTTTTCATCTTTGTGGTCTCTCTAATAGAGATGTTGGTAACAGGTGAAATTTTGCTTTCATTCCTTCCATGAAAAACTGGGGCAGATGTCCCAGAAAGGCATGCTGTGTTGTAAGTGGAGAGTGGGGAAGAGGTGTGGGAGTTGGGTAGAAGGACTGCTCCGCAGGCTGAGTGCTTCCTTAGGAACAATTGTTGAACACACACAATCACACACACCTACAAAGAAGGTGGTGGTGGGGGTTCAGCAAGAGATAAGAAGTTGAGGCTGCCACAGGTCATCCATCCTTCTTCTGCTACAGAGCACAGTCAGCGAGTCCACCTTGATTGCCTTGCTGGCAGCCAGGAAGAACAAAATCCTGGAAATGAAAACATCTGAGCCCGGGGCGGATGAGTCCTCCCTGAACGCGCGGTTCATCGCCTATGCCTCTGACCAGGTGAGCAACCCATCAGGGGCCACACCTTCAGATCTGTGCTTGTCTTCTGGAGTTTTAGGTCTTGAATCATTTTCTTTTAAATATGAGAATGCCAGGGCTCAGGGCAGCTTGGGCTGTGAAGAAGGTTGTCTCCAGGAAGTGCAGTGGAAGATGAACATCCAATGTTATTTGACTCCCTTTGTTGTTAGTTTCTGGGGAGGGCTTCCTGCAGGACTCTTCTAACGGTGCCCTTGATCCTCATAGGCTCACTCCTCCGTGGAAAAGGCTGGTTTGATTTCTCTGGTGAAGATGAAATTTCTGCCTGTGGATGACAACTTCTCGCTCCGAGGGGAAGTCCTTCAGAAAGCCATCAAGGAGGACAAGGAGCGGGGCTTGGTGCCTGTTTTTGTAAGTCAGAATGTTTTCTGAGTTTAGCATGATAGAACCTAGTGGTCAGGAAGACTTACCGAATTCAGGTAAGTCATAGTCTGCACCTGAATCAGAGGATTTCAAACATGTTTTAAAAGTTATAAGCCATGATTTATTGGTATCTAGGAAGTAAATTTGTGGCTCATGACCTATTTTTTTTTTTAAAGATTTTATTTATTTATTCATGTGGAACTGGGGTACAGGCCAGAGATGCAGAGGATGAGAGGATTCACCAGAGACAGAACGAGGAGCAGAACAGGCAGATCGACGAAGTACACTGCTGAGGGGAGCAGCGGGCGGGTCAGGAGAGGTCTGCCACGCCATGTGGTCACCTCCGGGGCAGGCGGGGATCGAACTCATGCAGAAGTGGCTTAAGCTTAGTAGTGCAGTGCTTTAACCCGCTGCGCCACCAGGGAGGGCCTCATGACCTATTTTTTAAAGAAAGAATAGAATGGAAACTATTAAGGTGCATTCTTGTAGCCAGAGTAAGGCATTTTGTTTGTTGAAATTTTTATTTCAAATACACATGTATCTCCATAGGAGTTATTAAAATATATTTGTTAGTGTGAGTCATGAAAGTACAGGTGAATACAGTGTCCTTGTGGGGAGGGTGGAGTCGATAATATCTGTGATAAAATCTTTTTTCAGCTCGCTCCAATGAGTCACATGAACCCATCTTCCCCCCTTAACTGCCTTATTTTCCCTAGGTCTGCGCAACACTTGGGACCACTGGGGTCTGCGCATTTGACTGCCTGTCAGAGCTGGGTCCCATCTGTAAGTGTCACCCTGACCGGCTAGGGACACAAGTATGGGTCGAAAAATATTCCCTGGAGCAAGAACCGAGGCTGCTCTGTGGAATGATGTTTTCCCTCCTTGGTCAATGTAGAGTGTGGGAAGAACCACCCAAGATCACAAGTGCCTTTTCCAAGGGGACATGGCACTGCTTTCCCAGCTGTGAGAGTGAGGGCTAGTACTGCCTCCCCTGCATCCTGTCTTAGGATGCAACAGGTAGGCTCACCTGAGGCTCACCCCTCACGTATGGCATGGAGAAACCATGGTAGGAGAGAATGGCAGAAAAGAAACCCAAATGGGAGTGCAGGAAACCCACTAGGAAAGAGAAACATCTCCTCCTTAAGGATGTCTTAGATGTATCATACATGTCTTAGATGTGTTGTACATGTATTAGATATGTTATACCTGTATTAGATGTATTATCCATTGCTCTTGGAAGCGTAGGACATTGGTTTCTGTGCCACAAAATTCTAGGTGGAGTCACAGCTCTGACTAGTGAGAGCAAAAGGCCAGGGTGAGGTTCTGCAGACTTTCTCCTTACGAGGTGACTGTGTCATTCAACCTCAATTCCTGCTGGCAATAATGCACCCTCCTCTCACCCCTCCCAGGTCCTGACATCTTATTTAGCCAAAACAGGTAATTTATTTCCTGTTCTTCTCTTGCTGCCCACTGGCCAGCTTAGCCTGGCAAGAGATGCCTTTTAGTTGACTGGTAAGACACCTCCATTCCTCTCTACAGACCCACACTTCAATCTGGTGACTTTTGGTTTCTAGGTGCCCGTGAAGGGGTTTGGCTCCACATTGACGCTGCCTATGCGGGCACTGCCTTCCTGTGCCCTGAGTTCCGGGGGTTTCTGAAGGGCGTCGAGTATGCTGATTCCTTCACCTTTAATCCTTCCAAGTGGATGATGGTGCACTTTGACTGTACTGGGTTTTGGTGAGTGTGGCAGCCAAGCATGTGAGAAAGCCTTGTGCCCCTGCAGAGGCCTCAGTCACTTAATGCCCATTTGGAAACCCACAGGGTCAAGGACAAGTACAAGCTGCAGCAAACCTTCAGCGTGAACCCCGTCTACCTCAGGCATGCCAACTCGGGTGCGGCCACCGACTTCATGGTGAGTGACGAGGAACGGCCTTGTGGCCTCTGATGTGGAAAGTGCTTCAGTTCTGACTCTTGATGGGTCTCCTGTATGTCTGGCAGGCTGTGAGCCCATCCCAAGATATCTCCACTAAATGCCTTTGATTTCAAGTGTCTAGAATAGAACCTTTGTGTATCAGTATGGAGAAGTTCTGCAAATTGCTAAAAAATCTTAGAAAACGAGACAACCTTCTGAGGCAGTGCATATGTATCTTGAATATTTGCAGTGATTTTTTAAAAAAAGATTTATTTATGGCCCTCCCTGGTGGCGCAGCGGGTTAAAGCACTGCACTAAGAAGCTTAAGCCAATTCTGCATGAGTTTGATCCCTGCCT